CCACCCCCGTGACTGGATTGGAAACTAACTAAAAATTGCTCCTCAGGTGGTACCTGGTTCCCCAGTGGATCTCTAAGGCCCTCCCCTTCCTTCTGTTTCAGGGGTTGTTCAAACTAGGGCACTTTTGCACACGTTTGTTGGGTTTGCCCGCTGGTAACCCATTTTTGATCTAAGATTTTCGGCAAAATATGCTTGGTATTTGGCTTTAATCCATCAAAAAGCCCTCATATTGCTCTTTTTATTCAGAAACCACCAGAAGTCACAGACCACCAATTTAAATTGCTGTTGTATATTTTTACTGCGGCTAGAAAGGTGATTGTGAGATCTTAGAAGACGCCCTCCATCTCCTTTAAGCTGTTTTTTTAATATTATGTCTCAGGTTATGTTTTTCAGAAACTCACAGCGTCCCAGAACGACACCCTGGCTAAGTACTCGAGTGTCTGGGATTGGTGGATCGCTGCCTTTTTTCTGAAGATTTTGATTGCGACGCCATGCACCTTTGATCATTTATCCCCTGCTTCTGTGACGGTGGAGGGGGTGAGAGAGCAGTAGCTTTATGGTGTTTGCCTGTCGTCCTCTCGTGTTGTCCATTGTGTGTTGTTGTTCCCCATGTTTTCCCTTGCTTGTGTTTATATCATTCATGCTGACTGACTTGTTCTTGACACACTTGTTTGAATATACTTTTTCCCCAACATGTGTTCGGTTTCCCCCTTTTTCATTTGCATGTATTTAACACAAAACATTTTCAATAAAGATTTATTGTACACCAAAAAAAAATTGTTTTCAAACCAGCAGTCTCGCTAAAATTAATCCAAATTAAACTTCAAAAAGTGTGCATTACAGAGCAGCAAACAATGCAAAAGTGTGTATGATTCTGGAAAGCTTCTAGAAGCTGAGGCTTTTCCCATTTACAAAATGGAAAACTGGGAGTCTGGGGAAATAAAAAAAAAACAGCATCTACTAGCAGCCCAGGAAGCCCTTACATGTTATCCTCTTGGGAAAAAAATTATTTCCACCCATTTTTGTAAAGTGGCAGCCTTGGCATGCTCAGGCATCAGCAGTGTAAGTGTAAGAAGTAGCCTAAGCTACATATTCCACAAAATGTACCTGACATAGTAAGATATCACTCAGAATTTGGGCCTGACAGGTGGCAGGAGCCCTGGAGTGGCAAAGTACCTAGACCAATTGGCAAAGGTGTACAAGTATTGTAGAGCCCCTCATTTTAGAAATTGTATAGGGGATAACATGGCAGGTAGAAGGAACCTCAGGGTGGCAAAATAACAAGAGTACACAGATGCACAAGTAGCATGAGGCACTCATTCCAAACATTGTCCTAGAGATGGTAGGATTCAGGCTTTAGGCCTGTCAGGTGGCAACAGCCTTCTCCCTCTCAGCCACAGTTAAGAATGAGGAAAGCTGGCAGGAGGCACCCTTTTTGTATGTTTTCCAGCATCTCTGATTGGTCTTGTGGAGGTCAACTTGTTCTCAGAAGCCTTTTTGGAAAACCACCAAAATTAATACTGAAATACTGAATTAGCTTGGGACTGAATTTGTAAAATTTTCCATGTCAATTGTGTTTTATAAGTGCATCCTTTCTTAAATGTTTGTTTGTAAATAAAGATTTTATATACATAGTAAAAAAAAAGAAAACATTTAAACCAAAAAAAACCCTTACTCATTCACAAAGGGGGCGCATCTGGGTGCCCCTGTATTAAAGGGGTACCCCAATGCATAATGCATAAGCCCCCCTGCCCGCAGACCCCCACAACCAATGCCCCAGGGCTTGTGGGGAAGAGGCCCTTGTCCCCATTGGCACAGGGACAAGGTGCTTTTCCAGGGCCCTGTAAAAGCACCCCCCCCCAGTGCCGAGGGCATGTGGCCTGGTATGGCAGGGAGGAAGGGGCGCTCGCTT